ACAATTCTATGTATTGTTTTAATGTTGACTTCTTACAAATAGCTGATACAAATATTGATTTTTTTTTGTATTCTTTTAACCTTCTAATCTATGAGAGCATTTAAAAAATTATTGGGGTGATGTATGCACTCCCAACTTCCATATCTGCTTTTGTGCAGTGGCTCATTTTTCGGACCCCTTTTTTCCGTCACGTCGGACCCTTCATTAGAAAAATTCTGGTGCCACCGCTGCTTCACTGTGATAATGTTTTTAACATTAATTTTATCATTTTTTGCACAAATTTCAGCTACCATATTTTAATCTAACCTCTGTGACGATGCAAATATACATATTCTTAAGCTGGGCTTATGCGCCCTTGTGACTCGACTCAACTCAACTGACATCAACTGACCTTTGGCAACGTGCCAGCAACTGTGTCACATGACTGAGACTGACATAAGCGCACTTTGCGATCGAAAGCAACTGAAAAGCAACTGGAAATTGTCATTTGCCCTCGGTTGCTTTTAGTCGCCCATGTTCTATATTGTAGCGATTCAAAGCAACTGGCAAGCGACTGAAAATGCTACTGCGCATGTCGATTATAAAGTTACGTTTACCGCCGATAATAATTTGGCGTGGTTTATGTAAAATGTACTGGTGTTTACAAGACTTCTGTAATACCATAAAACCTCGAATTGAAACCCTGGGCTTTTTATTTTTTTTATTATTTATTTAATTTTTTTTTTTTTTAGCCTTTGGATGCACTTCTTTTCAAAGCTACTTTTGCAAAGTAAAGAGGGGGATTCTCAGGGGCGGATCCAGAAATGTCCAAAATTGGGGGCAGAAAGTTGGGCTGATTGAGACAACACTGTTGTAGGGGGTCCAGGGGGCATGCCCCCACACAATTTTTGTGTTCTAGACGCCCAAACATAACATTTGAGGCATTCTGGGCTATCATTTTTTCTTTTTCTCTCTTTTTTTTTTTTTTTTACTTCCCAAAAGGGAAGGGCCCCCCCTCTAAATCCGCCCCTGCTTCTTCCACCCCCCCTAAATCTGCCCCTGCTTCTTTTCAAAATGAATGCTGTAGATTTGGTGAATTTGTACTACTAAACAATTAAGTATGGCCACTTTAACATCAATCTGTATCATGGAGTGTATCAATTTAACTGGTATTAAATCACCTAAACAACTCTTTAAACCAAGCCATTTTTAATTTATTTTGTTTTCTGAAATTCATGAACGGTGTATATTACTATGCTATCTTGAAAAGAAGCCTAATAGCCTATTATTGTGCCTATTATAGTCATAATAAGAAGATGGAATTGTTATTGTCGTGATGGAATAGACAAATAACTTGATTTGCGTCAAGAGAAACATATATAGGTGTAATTTTGCCCTACCTGACATGTAAATGTACTGAATACTCAGTACGTTTCAAAACAATTGTCAAAAAAAAAAAATCGCAAGTTGTTCTCAGGTGGGACCCGAACCCACAATCTCCAGATCACTGTTTTACTAAGTATTCAGTACATTTACACGTCAGGTAGGATAAAATTACACCTATACATAATAAGAAGCATATACAAATGCAAAACAATTGACCATTAGCCATTTTTGCAATTTTTAGTAAATGTTTTTTTTTTTATAAGACATCATTTACAGATCAGTAGAGCATGATCTCAGGGTGGGAAAAATAAATCCTTAGCAATTTCGGCTATATTAATGTGATTAGCGAAATTGAATTTTTATGAGCACAGAAACTGATTGAAAATATTTAGCCATAACTAGTACAGTATATCTAGACTAGCTTAGTTTATAAAATTGTGGGAAGTCTGTGCAACATGTTTTATTTGTAACAGTAGGTTAAACAAATTCAATTGATTTTTTAGATATAAACTATAATACAATTATAATAATAAAATTTCTAAATGTAAAGGTATTTATAGCAAATGGTAGTCGATTAAGTATTGGCATATTATCTGTTTGTTTTCCATTTTGATAACAATATATGCATTTTTATAGTAATTTATATATGCCTATTATGGTTATATAGACAGGATTCTTGCATTTATTTATACATTTCTCTTATACACATCT